TCAATCCATATTGGAGGCTGCAGTCCTTGACCCTCTGCAGCAAGCGCTTCAGGTCCTCCTCAGTTTCAGCAAGCAGGGTTGTGTCATCTGCATAACGCGGATTGTTGACAGATCTTCCACCAATCCTGATGCCACACTTCTCCTAATAGAGCCCTGAAAACCTGATGGGACAAGTTCTACTGGTCAGAATCAAGTTGATGGCAGTGGGTGGTGGAGGTGGGTAATCTAAGCACACAATAATTCACTGCTTTTGAGTCAGAACCAACTCACAGGTGACTGCCGGGGGGCGGTGGGGGGGGGTTGGGGAGGCTATAAGCACACAATAGGAGACTCACCATTTTTCTCCCTTGGAGATGCTGGTGGATTTGAACAGATAGAGTTAGCAATGTAACTTCCTATGGACTATGCATGGACCATGAAAAGTGCATACAAAGTGCACAAAAGCCCTAGGGAAAAGTGTCTGAAATATTATGAGGATTACCAAAATGGAGAAAAACACTGAGGACAAAGGCAAAGAGAAGAAAAATACAGCAAATAAACCACATACATATTCTTTACAAAATTAAAGTATTTTAGACCAAACTTACCCAAAGCATTGCATTTGGATTTAGGTTTCTTCTCTTTTTTTTCTTCTGGGGGTTTTACTTTCACTTCTTTCTTTTTAACTTGTTTAACTTGACTTTTTTTCACAGTTACCTTTTCATCTTCACTCTCATCAAAATCTTCTTCATCTTCAGAATCATTACCTAAAACAGATTATATAATATTCTCTCAATTTTTTTCTTGAAACTTTTACCATCTACATTGTTCCTTTTTAGCCAGACTGTTTCTATGAACCTACAAACATGAAGAAAATATCACCTAAAAATTCTCTTCCCTTTGTCACATTTCTCTGATACACTTTAATGCAAAAAACCTCAAAAAGTAGTCCTATAGTCACTGTTTCCAGTTCATCACCCGCCCATTGTCTTGAACCCAGTTAACAGTTTTTATTTCCACCAATGACCTTGCTATATACACCAATTTAGTTTCATCTGTAAGCTGAAAGTTCACTTCATCACTGACATCTTTTAAATACTGCCTACATTTGGCATTTCATTATTCCTTCTTTCTTGGAGCTTTTACATTTTCATCCATTTCTTTTCAATCTCCTTTGCTGATTGTTTCTAATGTTCCTGACCACTAAATGCTGGTGTGTTCCAGAACTTAGTGTTCAGGCCTCTTCTATTCTTATAGTCATGCTTGAAGTGACCTCATTTAGTCTCCTGGCTGAATCCTATTTATCAGGTGATGTTCCCCAGTTTAATGTCCAACCTAGACTTTCCAACTGAACTCCATATTCAATCAACTGTCTGCTTACTTAGCATCCTCACAGAGGATGTCAAGTGTCCCTAACACATCTAAAACTCAAGCCTTGATTCCATTTACTACTATCGCTTTACTCAGCAAAATTTCACCTCCACTACCTTTTTTCCACCTCAGTGAATGATAGCTTCCAGCAACTCAAACTGATAATCATTCTTGATTTTCACCTTCTTTTTCTCCCTTGACTATAGATGATCAATCCGCAAATTCCATACACTATTATTTAAACTAGGGACTGGGTGTTCCCAGTTGAGGGGTTAAGAGTTTGAGCACTAACCACAAGGTTGGCAGACTGGACCCATCCATCTCTCCACGAAATGTATGGCAGTCTGCTTCTGTCAGGTCATACCCTTGGAAACCCAGGGGAACATTTCCACTCTGTATTATAGGGTGGCTAAGACATCAAGAGAGAATGATTGAATTTTGCACAATCAATGACTTATTCATAGCAAATATGTTTTTTAAGAGACATAAACGCAGGTTTATATACATGGATATCACTTGATGGTATGCATAGGAATCAGACTGATTACATCTGCGGAAAGAACCGTTGGAGAAGCTAAATATCGGCTGTGAAAACTAGGCCAGGAGCTGATTGTGGAACAGACAACCAACTACTCATATCCAAGTTCAAGCTGAAGTTGAGGAAAATTAAACCAAATCCATGGGAACCAAAATATGACTTTGAGCCTATCCCACATGAATTTCAGAACCA